ATTGGTAATGAAAATAATCTTCTGCTCCCTGCCCCTGAAAACTTAGAGCCAGGTACCCATAAAATAAAATGGCCCTGGAAGGTGCAGGTAGGACCCAAGTGGTGTGGCCTACTTGCACCTTGGGGGAGACTATTGGAGGTGGGAGGCTCAGTAGTCCCTCCAGTAATAGGTACATGGCCTACTGATATTATGGTCAACACTCCGATCTTTATTGCTAAAGGGACCCCCATCATGTCCCTATGGCAGATCAGGACACCTCCTTTGGTGCCTGATATCGTTATGCAGCCGCAGATATCCGGCAAAAAGGTGTGGTACAGGCGGCCAGGACGTGCCCCAGTACAAGCGGAAGTGTTGACCCAAGACAGAAATACGGCCTGTATCTTGCCCTGGAGAGCAGACCTTCCCCTCCTGGTACCTGTAAAACATCTGTATTACTCCCCGTGAGTCTGTGAGCCTTCAGGACCACCGGAAGGAACAAAATGCCATCAAGCGTTCCAGTGTTGCTGTCAGATCACGTACAACACCCGGTGATGGTCTGCATGGGACTGATGGAACATAGAATGGACTTGCACCTCAGGACCTCATGCCTCCAGGCACATCATCGAGCACTGGCCCATAGAAGAGTATGGACATCCACTAATCATCACTTGTCTTGAACTGTACCAACATACGTCGCGATAAAATTGTATAAGCGTCGCGATATACCGGATCTCTGTATTAGGGAAAGCTTACCCTTTTGTTAACCTGATCATTGGTTCACGCCGTGAAGGGGTGGAGTGTATGGGAACTGCTGAGTCACGGCCTGAACCTCTGATTAATCACCTGAGGTGAGCCATGAGTCAGCCAGAGGAGCACAGGTGAAGGCAATTCACCTGTGCTACCGGAAGGGGTGGAGCCAGGCTCCACCCCTCCTGGACCTATTTAAGAGCTGGCTACCAGAGGGGAAGGATCTCTTCTGGAGATCCTCCTCTTTGATATCTTCTAGTGAGCTCAACCCAAGGGTAAGCTCTTCTACTTATTCTCTTTTGTGATCCTTGTTTGCCTTACTCTTTTGATTATATTGCAATTATAACATCTTGGTTATACAAAAGGTAATGCATTTGAACACTAATTTGAAGTCTCAGACACTTGTTTTTTTTATTTCTGAGACTCTAGAGGATGAAAAAGTAATCTGCTTTTCCCTGGTGCTCCTTCTGGAATAAAAAAAATAAGTAGATAGAATTAATTTACAATCTGAAGAAGTTTACACCGCAAGAATGATAAGGTGTAGTCAGTCCACAGTGGGGATATGTCCCTTTTAAGTCTAAAAGCATAGAATAAATAGAGCTACTGAAGCAGTTCTTAACAACAGGTGCCTAAGTAGCTCTCCCTTTGGTTGCAGGAATAGAGGAAACCACCCAAGCCATTTTGTTCTAAGTAAATTGGTTCTGATGTCATATCAGAGAAGGCCATCAGATTATACAAATATAACCAGCTTATTCCTTTGAAGGCAAAAAAGATCAGTCAGTTCCAGAAGACATGGGTCATTGATTACAACCAAATATTTGAAACTTACTTTGAATTCAATTAAAAATGGAGGTGATAATGACTTTTGAGGCAGCTGAACATCAGATCTCAAACAAGTGGCTATTTCAGACAGGTAAGAAACAACCAAAAGAAAACACTGAAAGTTTTGGGTGTTTCTGCATAAATAAAATCATAGGCATTAGAAATGAAAAAAAAAGAGAGTAGTACAGTTTCTCCCTTCACCTACCACAACTGGATATTGTTTCCATGCAGAAAACAATGTTAAACTGACAACACACATGCTAGCAATAAGGAAAAAGAAGGGCAAAAACATATCTTCAAACAGGAAACCTGTTCAAAGATGTTCATGAAGCCTGAGCAATTACATTCTTACTTACTGTTTTGGCTTACAAAATAAGAAAACATGAAGCATATAACTGTCCCCATCTTTTGCCAGGAAAGCAGGTGACAGTAGGGAAGAAATGCTAGCAAAGGTTGCCTATTTCATACAGACTGCAAAAGGCTGAACACATTAAGAAAATAGGTCAAAGCTTACATGTGCTTTTTTCTTGTGCTAATAAGATGCATTTGTGTACAACTTGCCATTAAGAGCTAGCCTTTTCACTCCTGTTACAATTTCGTTCAGAATTAATATTCTTGAAGACTATACTCTGTTCTTCTGCATTCTCTTCTACTTTTAGAGAGTATTAAAAGAATACATTGATGGCTAGAAAAGCCCTATGAATCCACAGCATGTTGTTCTCTCTATCCTTCAGCTCTAACATGTACTAGAGATTAGTTTGTGTCTATAAAAAGAACTGCAGCTGTTAGTGCTTGTCTACTTACAAGAGGCTTGAAAAGCATATATTAATTAGGGAGAATTTGTTTAGGAGCACTTGAAAACTCGCGTGTATTCCCTATGTAACTAACAACTTCACCTTCCCTTCACTTCTACTGACACTACCAAAATCATTCGTGAAAAAGCCCACAAAACTCATTACACCTAAATCTCTCACTAAAGTCATTGACATGGTAACCCCAGTGGCATTTGGAATAAATCATTATTAGTTCTTATTTCATCTCACTTTAGCAGCTTTATTTGTGTCCTGCATCCTCTATTTGGCAGCCATTCTCTCTGCTTTGCTGTCTCTTTACACCCCTTAACAGAGATGACTGATCAGATTAAAATAATTCAGGACTGAGGTGATTCATGTTTCAGTTAAAGTCAACTGTACAGGCTGTTCTGCACTAGCGAGACTACTTGCCTTCACCATGCACTTGGGCATATTCCAGTGACGTGGTGGTGTGAAAGGACTAGGGCAAAACTGAGGCACTTCCCTTTGGCCTTTCATGCTCCAGCAGCTGTTCACAGAGTAGACTGCTGGCAAAGGGAATAGCAAGCAGTGCTGTGAGTTCACGGGCTCTGTACCACAATGGGCTCAAGCTCAAATTCAGACTTGGGTCACAAGTAGAAATATTTGGCCTTCCAAGTAATTTGGCAAAATTGCTGTGGTCCTATAAAGAAGATGCCAAGAACCAGTGTAATAAAAGCCTGTTCCAAGACAAGTCTGAAGCAGCACCTAAAAAGGCAATGGCAAGCAGCTGATCTTTCCAGCTTTCACATATGAACTAAGATTCTTGATAATATGTTTTGCAGGTTATAGGCTCAGTTAATGTACTTCTGGGAATCCACTTTTCATCCAGCACTGGACTAGAAAGGGACATCACACGGCACTAAATAAATGTTCACACATTCTCATGTAAGGCAGACACAGACTGCTATCAAAGAGCCTCAGAGCTGTAGACAGCTTTACTCAAATTATTATAACAGAGAAAAGGAAATTTCTCTCCCTGCACTGGTAGCACAGAGTATTTTTCTTCAAGTCCTGTGAAAAACCAACAGCATGCCTGACATCCAAAAAAAGGCACATAACAAGGATAAATTGCACAGGCATGCCCGTTTTTCTTATTATGACTGGTGCCATGTTTTTACATGGGACATTCCAGGGAAAGCTGTAGCGTAGCCCGCATCCTACTCTGATCCCTCAGGGAAAGAATCGCATCTCAGTAACCCAGACAGAGCAGCTGTATGTCTCTGTTCCTGTAACAACTATTTACACAGTACTCTAATGAGAGGTCCTTTTTCTGCAAAGCAATGTCAGTATCAGTTCGTTATTTCAGTGGCTGAGCAACAGGTATCTCAGTTCAAATACTTGTTCTTATAGCCTTGCAGTTGTCAACGTCATAGGAATGTGAAGAATCCGATGTTATAAATAGCTCTATATAAAAGCAATCTTAAAACAAAGAAATTACAAGTACTGGCCACACCTAGCAACCTCAGACAAGGACCACAGCCCCATGCACTAAACATTTTACGTTGAACAAAAAAAGGTTATGATGCCTTCCTCATCTCCTATCTAATTAAAAACCTAAATGCTCATTTTCAAACTTGCAAATAGGTCAATTCCTAAATCTTGACAATGATGAGCTCTGACATAACTTACAAGGACAGAGAAACCAGGAGATGATCAGTGTAAACCTAATAAACTCAGTACATTGTCTCAAAAGCAAATCTAGCCTAATCAGTCTAATACAGAGTACAAAATTTTTGTTAGAAAAGTAATAGCTTCGTTGCAGCAACCCTGTCAGCAGCAGAGCTCTGCTAGAGACATGAAACAGGAATTCTATGTACCTGGCTCACAGAGTAAAGCAAATGGTGCAAGAGATATGTCAGCATAGGAAAATGCTAGCACATTTTCCAAACACTGATATCACCTCACCGTGCATGGGGATATCAGGATCTTGTGATGTTCAACCACAAATGTGGTCTCAGTGTTTGGCTGGCATATTAAGTACAAGCATTTTTTGGCAATGGAAAGGGCTCTCAAGATTAGGATTCACCTGAGGTTAAAAAATAGGATCAGTGGCTGGGAAAAACAGAAGGGGATTCATTCCTCTGGATGACAAGCTTTTTCCTTACTCTTCAATTACTAAACTTGCAAAAACAGCAGTACTACTTCAGATTCAGCACCAAAAATATTTTG